ATTGACAATATGAATTTCTTTACCAGGGTAATATAATCCCCTGAGTTGCTCCAGTGTGCCAGGCTCTCTGCCCTGGGGTGCTGCTGGCTTTGGAGGGCTCACTGGCTCGAGCTGGAGGTTATTTATAGAGGGACCTGCTAGACTGTCTGCTGCATCCTGTGCTTTACTCCCGTGGGCAGCCCCAGCCCCAGGAGAAGCAGCTTGCAAACTCTGCATGCAGGAAAAGGCCAAACAAGGTGCATTAAAAAAAAAAATCCTGTTCTCCAGCTTGGCTGTGCAGGGACCCTGGCAAGCAAGGAGCATGGTGGTGACAGGAGCTGGCACCTGACCCTCTCAGCTTTCTGGTGGCTCTGCCCAAAGGTCCCTCAGGAAGTGTCATTGTCCATGAATCCTTGCTCTTCCTGGTCTCCATCTCCATCTTGGAAACACCGCTTGCTCCACAGGGAACAGAAAGGCCCAAGGATTCTGAGCTCCTTTCCTCGCTTTCCCACTATCTTTCTTTGGATAAGATGTAATGTTAGATACTTTTTTTCCCCTGCTGCTGCTGCCAGAAAATATTTATAACCAGGTCAACCATAGCAGAGCTTTTTTAATGACTTAATTATAAAATATACCTTATAACCTCTAGTGTGATTACACAAATGCATACATTATGGGAATTGACAACTTCAGGAAGTGGTTCTGATCATAGCACATGAATCCCCATTTTTTCCCCCAAACACTAAGCCCTTGGGTAAAGGAAATAGATCAAGAAGCAGCTGTTGTTCTTCCCATTTCAGACAGAAGCTCAGGAGAGGCCAGGCCGCTGGCCTGAAGTCACACAGCAGGTCAACTCTCCTTTCTTCTGCACCAGGCACCTCACCAAAGGGTGTGGGACTGTGAAAATCTATGTTCTAGATGCTTGAGAAATTCATTTTCTAGTCAGCTGAATTGTCAATTCAGATTCAGTTTAAGAAAGAAGATGGGGAGGCAGACCTGGGGGTTCTCTAAGCCTAGGATTCTTTTCCCCATCAAAATTCTTCTTAAAGCATCTGATCCCCTTGCTCTCAGTGAGTTGTAAGCTCCTCAGGAACATAGTCTTTGGGGACCCAATCAAAATAGGGTGTGCATGTGTGTGCTTTGTGTGTGTGTGTGTATGTGTGGAGGGGTCATATCTACTCTCTGCATCTCACTCTTGCTTTTTTGTGTACATCAAGGTCTACCCTGTGGTTTTAATTTTGCATTTTCCAGATGACTTGCAGATGTAGCTCAGTGGTAGAGCACTTGCCCAGTATGCACAGGGCCCTGGGTTCAAATCCCAGCATTGAAAAAAACATCGCAAAACAATAAAAAGAAAACCCCAGGTGACTAATGCAGTTGAACATCTTGTAGATGTTTAGTAATTGTTAGTTTCTCTCTTCTTCCTGTTCTTTTGCCTTCCCCCACCCCTGGTGGAGTGTGACCCTGAAAGATGTCAGTCCCTGAGACCCAGATTCCTCTGTGTTGGCAGTTCTGTTGTAGACCCGCGCTGCTGGGTCTCAGCCTTCCATTCCCTTGCATCTGACTCTCCAGCCAGACTGACACTCTTAGCTCTTCTCCAAGCCTCCGAGCATTTGCAAATACTATTCCCTCTGTGTGGGACACTGTGTCCCTTTCCTCAGCCCGACTTCACACACTACCTGAGTCCCAGGCCATGCGCCACTTCCTCCAGGAAGCCTTACTTGATACTTGCCCTGTTCCCACCCACTGCCTGACTCAGCTGTCCTTTGTTTGTGGCTAAGCAATACCCTGTACTTCCCCTCTTAGCACTTATCACACTGTGTTGCAATTGCCTCTTTGCTGGCTGGTTTCTCTTGAACCTTCCCCCATCCCTTTGAGGATAAGACACATGGCTGCTCAGTTTTATAACACAAAGCTCAGTGTATCAGTGATGCTGGTTGAATGACTGACCTGGTCCAGATCCCCTTTAGAAGACAAAACTCTAACCTTCTATTCCAGCGACACTAGAATCAGTTCTTTCAGGCCATCACCCCTCACCTCCTGTATCAGTTGTCCTAATTGCCAAGGTCTCATGGAAGCAGACATTTGAGGGTCTAGTGTAGTGGTGGCGAAGTGCCAAAGCGGGCTGTTTGTATTATTGAAAACTCTAAGAGGTTCGCCATTGTTGTTCTAGTATATGCCATGCACTAAGCCAGTCTATTTACATGGATGTCATCTTCACAACCAAAAGGCTTCAAGCTTCTAGTCTAGGCAGTGCTTTGAAACTCAGAGGCTTGGCTGTCCAATCAGGTGATTAAGAGCAGGGGGAAGTGAGTGATGTCACAATGCTCTCCATCTTGATAGTGGCAAAGGAGGTCAGCAGAGCAAGATCCCAGGCAGCACTGAGCTGCAAGCCTGTGTCTTTTCCATGCTTGGCATGTAGGAGTACACACAGATTTGTTGAAGAAATGAATGGAAGTTGAAGGAGGGATACTGAAAGTGCAGCTTAGAGTGAAGCTGAGAGGGAAATGAGTGAACCTTAGACAACCCATGTTTCTTTCTCAGCCTCACTGTAATTCTTTCTTTTCCTCCATGTGCTATAAAATCAAACTGGACAATAAGGTATTTGTGGCGTGGGCAGCTATATACAGCGCCAGCCAAGGCTGATCCTTGTGATTTCTGCTGAGATTCCATAGATCAAAAATAGCCACACCTTGCTGCAAGGGAAGCTGAGGAAGTTCTGTTTGTGAACTCTTGAGGAAAGGAAGATGGATCTGGATGAAACGTTAGTAATCTTAGTCACAGCACACAAGGATGGTCTTTCCTCTGCCAGTGTCACTGGGTGGCCATGAGCTATCACAGATTGCATGGTGCTCACTGTGGGAAGGACCACTTCCTTCAAGCCCCTGGTTTTACAAATGAAAAGACTGCAGCCAGGGGAAGCAGTGTCTCTAGCCTGAAGGTTGTTTGGTGCTAGAGTCCTCTGTTTCGCTTAATCTGTCCATACTTTATCTGCAAAGTGGTCTTTAAACAAGCAAACCTCATCTCCTTCACAAAAGGAGTTTTCAGTGATGAAGGGGAAGTGAAAGCAACACAAATTAAGATGTTGATGGTATAATTATTACAGTGCTACTGAACAGAAACGATTCTCTTCTCAGAAGGCTCTTTTGTGTCCTGTGGTTCCTAAGAGTCTGCATCATTAGGAACTTCAACTTCCCCATGAAATAGTGCAAAATCATTTAGAGGACCATGTGTGGGAGTGAAACTTTGGCTTCTTTGATAAAAGAACAGTTACTAATTGTGAAGATTTGTGCAAGCGTTTAACTTCCTTTAAACTTTCATTCTCTCACTGGTAAAATGAAGGTGGTAATATTTACCTCCCAAAGCCCAAAGAAGAAATGAAAACCACCAGGCATAGTATCTGTACCTCATTGGGACACAGTAAATGGAACTTTCTGTCTTAAATAGTGGAGGGCCTTTCTCTGAATATCTAGGAGATTATTACACATATCTGTTGCTATAATCTCCCCCCAGAGGGACACTTCCAACAACAATCAACAAATATAATCAGTTTTATCATCTGCCATTGCTACCTGGGTGCTGAAAACCTACAGCTGAAAATAAAAACACTTGCTTCTGAGGGAGACTGAAATGTGAACAGAAAATAACAGCACCATGTTGACAAGCTGCAGAGACAGAACAGGGGAACTCGACAAGGGGGAAGATTTCAAGTTTGCTTGGGTGGGTGACGGGGAAAGAGAAGGAACTGGCCCAATAAAACAGGACAAGATGGGGAGGACGGAGAAGAATGAGGAAGAGCATTTTGTATAACGAAGCAACTATTTTAGGCAGAGCTGGAGCAGTTGTTTTTTTTTTAAAGCAAAAGGGAGGGGGACCGGTGACAGGGGCCCCAGTAGGTTTGGGATTTGATCCTACCAGAGATGGCCAGGCAAGGATTTTGAGCAGGGCAGTGTTGGGAATGCAGTAATGGAAAGCAGTAGGGAGACTGGTGTTCGGAGTGGGAAAGCAAGGTGGGTGGTTGCTGAAACCCAAGCTGCCCTTCTCTGATTTGTATTGTTTTGGGGGGCTGGAAATTGAACCCAGGCTTTTGCGCATGCGTATACTACCTCGGAGCTACATGCCACTCACTAGCCTTAGTCATTCAACAAATGGTTACCAAGGGCCTGCCTTGTACCTACCTGTATTCCAGGAACTGGAAATAAGGCAACTAACAGGACTGGCAAGGTCTCTTATTTCGGAAGAGATGGATAATAGATAAAGGAGTAAACAAGCAAGGAAATATCAGTTAAGTTCTGCAAGGGAAATGAAACCAGGTGACAGAAGAGTCCCTAAGCGCCTGCTCCCTCCACGCCCAACACTTCTGAATACTTACAAGCCTCCTCTTGGTCTGACTTAGGTTTTCTAAGCAGGCTTGCTCCTAGCAAAAATCTCTACCGTAAATAATTAAACCAACTCTCCGGGTGCTTCCAAGGTGCTGTACCTGAGTGGGAACACTCCCAAGCTGCTGTGCCCCAGGGCCTGATCAGCCAGGTAATTCTGGCTTGGGGACCACAGATTCTGCCTGAAGTCCCAAGTGTTAGAGTTTGAAGAAGGTTGCAGCAACCTCGAGAGCTTTTCTGACCATGATCTGATCTTCCTTTCCTCACTTCCTCCCACCCACTGTATACTTAACGTTCTTTAGAGGAAAAACATGTGATGGCGCGGTTGAAAGTGTGCATTTCTCCTCAGTGAAAAATGCACGTTTTAAACCCAGGCCCGCCGCTTTGGGCAGTCCCCCAGCAGCTCCCGCCCCCGCGCTTGCGGACCTCCAGGGGCCTCGGAGCGGAGCGCGGGGGCCACCGTGGTCTGGAGAGAGGGGATTAAGTCCGAGCCCTTCACGGCCAGGGACGCCGGCCAAGCACAAAAAAGCCAACATCGTGTTCAACACAGCTGCAGAAACCTGGGGCTGATCAGGTAGGTTCCCCACTGTGCCCCGTGGTCTTCTCTCCTTTGACACATTTTACTCATTTTTTTCCTTCATGTTTTTTTCTTCTTACAATAAAAACTTAAAGACAGGAAAGTTTTTGGTTTTAAGGCACTCTAGGGAAAGCCCTAGGGAGGCCTCTGATTTTGTGCAGCTTCTTCGGGGTTCCTGATACAGGCTGTCCTCCAGGGGACTATGGCAATCGGGGATGACTAAATTAGGGCTCCTGCTCCAACGTGTCTTCATTCTGGTTCAGCACAAAGGGTACTAATTTAAAAAAAAAAATTGGGGGCCAGGGATTTAGCTCAGTGGTTTAGCCGCCTGCTGCCCAAGTGCAAGGACCTGAGTTTGATCCCCAGTACCAAAAAAAGAAAAAATTTAAAGCAGTTCACACCTTACAAGATACCTTCACATTTCTGTCCCTTTCAAAATCACAAACTCAGACCTGAAAGCAAATGCAGAGATCTTGAGGGGGTAGATGAATACCTGGCCTATACTGGGCCATTCCTAAACTCCTGTCTTCCTAGACGTTGCTAATCCGTCACTCACCCATTCATTCACCATTGAAGAGTTACATGTTGGACACCCTCCATATTCTGCACATTATGTTAGAAAGCAAGAAACCAGACAGACTTGTTTGCTACCCTTAAGGACCTCCGAGGGGAAGGCAGACATTAAATAATTACATGCATGAAGAGTGTTTCATAAAAGCAGAGTGGGGGCAGTGGAAGGCATCATCCTCTGGAGCTAACCTGGGTTGGAGCAGGGTCAGGAAAGGCCTCCAGGAGGAAGTGATGTCTAAACTGACGTTTAGGGGACTAGGAAACAGTTTCTACAGGGTGAAAAAAAATAACATTACATACCAGTAGTAAAGACAGCATGAGTCAGAGCATGCTCATGGCTAAAAGAGGGGCTGTGGATACTAAAGGTGGAATAGGTGTCCAGGGGTAAACAGAGATTGGTTGACCCAGGCCTTAAAGATAAATAGGTTGACAGAAGGAGATGGGTGGAAGAGCTTGAGGGGACAGCTGTTATTGTCCCGATCCCTCTTCCATCCCAGGGAAGAGGGGTATTTTTTAAAATGTATATTTATCTGGAACCTACTACTATATATGGAGGTAATTCTCCTGAGTTCTTACATCTTCTTTTCCAGATAAATATTATTATTCCAGTTTTACAGATGAAGAAAAAGTCTTGTGAGGACTCCATTGAGCAGGTGACAGAGCCAAGACTTGAAGGTGCGCTTGACTGGTCACTCCCCACAGCTGCTCACTGCCTTAATAGGTCTGAGGTTTGCTGTAACAGCAAATCAAATACAACTGGGAAAGCAGCAGAGGAACTTTAAGGAATCCGAAATACTATGGGGTAAAAGTTGGTAGAGATGCCCCAGGTAGGTGGCCACCATTAGGCAGAGGACTGTGAGAGTGGCGGTAGAGAAGAGTGAGAAGTGACCATGGGGTGACACCGGGCTACCCCAGGACTTCACTTCTGGGAGCTGCCCTGCTCAACTACTACCCGTCCAGATTAATCATTTCCTGACCTTGCTTCCTCTTCAAGCCCTGCCCACAGGATTGCCACATCAGTCTTTCTCCTCCTCTTGCTGGCCCTCTGGGCCCAGTCTCCTTCCAGGGTTTTCCTAGGAGCCCCAACTTTGAAGGAGGGTTTGTAAGAACCCTGACGTCTTCCAGGACTACCCCAGTGAGGTCGCAGGCTCGCTCCGGTGTTACTGGGACCTGAGCAGCCCTTTGAGGCCTGCCTGCCGACGCTTTCTGAGACGAGGTCAGGGGCTGGGGATCCATTCTCAGCACTGATTAGCGAATCAGTCTTGGTTTCCCTGCAATAAACGGGGAGGAGGACAGTTAGCAGCGGGTAGGGTGCCGAGAGGCTTGAAGGAGGCATTGAGGCGCTAGGAGACAGTGGTGTGTGCCAACACGTTAGACTCCTGCCCCTTTTATCATCTGGTAAAGGGGACCTCGGCTCAGCAAACCAGGTTATGTTTATTTCTCTTAAATTTCCAGCGGCGAGGCATGAAAAGCCCGACATGCTTGACATGAAGCAGAAGTGAGTCACAGGGTTTGACTCCAGGTGTCCGGGCGCCCTCGAGGGCTAAGGCCACGTGGTCAGCACCGGAAGAGGCTTGGGTCGCACCTGCAGCAGCGAGGACATTAAGTCAGGCGCCTGGGCCAGGCCCTGAATCCCTTTGAGCTTGCTCCTCCCTGTTTTTCCTTCTTCACACTTTGCCATGTAGTCAGATTTTCTACCACCAAGCCGCTGTATAGTGAAACCTTCACATACGTTTTACTGTGTGAAACGCAGGATCGCAGTAAACGCAGCGGACCGGACCGGCTCGTCCGGACTGGGCACTCACCCATCCCGGGATGAGGAGGAGCCGCAGCCGCCCGAGGCCGCGGAGTTGGGAAAGTCACTTCCGAGCGCTGCGGGACCCTGAGCCAACAGCCTGTTCGCGCCGGGACCCCACCCCGAGCGAGGGCAGGGGGCGGGGCCTGAGTGGCAAGGGGGCGGGGCAAGCCTGGGAAGGCGGAAGCCTGCAATCTAGGCGGCTGCAGAACCCGGATCCCGGAGTTTCACGTTCTCCGGAGCGGGGCACCGGGAGACGGCAGGCGAGAAAACACGGCGTCCGGAAGCCCTCGCTTTCTTTGACTCAAGGGCTCGGGACGCAGCCACCGTCTGCCGAGCGCCCGGAGAGGAGGGACCCCAGACGGAGCCCTCAGAGTCTGTTCGACCGCCACAGCTGTGGTCCTCACTGCCGCCGTTCTCCTGGCCATGGAGTGTCCGCACCTCACTTCCAGCGTCTGCATCGCCCCGGACTCAGCCAAGTTCCCCAACGGCTCCCCGTCGTCCTGGTGCTGCAGCGGTGAGTGCGGCCCCGGCTGGCCCGGCTGCCACCCGAGGCCGCGGCTCTTTCGGGCCTGCCGTCGAAGGGCCCGGGAGGCCGGCGCGCGAGGACGGGGTGCAGAGGGCGAGCGGGCCGGGCGCGCCGGGGAGGGGACACGTTGAGGCGGGAGCGGCGGCGGCTCCTTTGTCTCCCGCGGCCCGACGGCCAGCTGAGGGGAGGCCCGCGAGGGGCGGGAGTCCGGGGCCGCGGCGGGCGGGGACCTGGGGGCCGGGGGGAGGGTGTCGCCCCCCAGGGCGGCCGCACGTGCGGCTGGGCCCGGGGGCCGCCTTCTTAGCGGACCGGACGGGAAAAGCTCCTCTTTCCCGGCTCAGCTTTGTCTGGGCCGCCGCCTGCCTCAGCAGCGCTTGTGTCCCTTCCCCCGCGGGCTCCGGCAGCCTCGGAAGCTCGGGCGGCCGAGGCCGGAGTCTTTCGTCAGTCGGGGAGGGTGAAGTTTGAAAACAAACTGAGGGCTCCACAGCTCCGGAGCTCCAGCCAACAGATGCTTTGGAGGGGCGGCTCGAGTTTGCATTTCAAAGATTGTTTCTGGACCGTCTTTTGGGTTGCCTGGAATTGCGTTGCGGTTCCAGAGTTCGTGCGCTGTGAAATAGTTACTAGGTTTAGGGGATGCTTTGGAATAGTCTTAAGCATTTTAACTCTTCCCACTGGCCCCCTAGGAATCCCTTAGTGCCCTGTCATTGTCTTCTCTAAGCGACTTAGGATCGCACCGGCCACCCTGCTTTGATTACTTCCTGGTAGGGCCCTGGTGCCGCTAGAGTCTTTGTTTATTAGCTCCAAGATGATCACCGGTAGCTTGGGTTATAGAGTAAAAATTGGATTGTGCGCTTAAGAATTTCCTTAAGTTCGTTTGAAGAAATGTAGAAAAATAGCGAACGTACGATTTAGCTGTGTGACATTTCTCAATGTGGGTCGGAGCTGGGGAATTAGAGAATGTTAACACTTTTGACAGGTTACTTCTTAAAGGGTGATTATGTTCTTAGAGAAAAAAAATGGTAGTGCTACAAAGAGAAATGTATTCTAGGATAAGGAATAGAAACAACCGCAGGTTTATCCCCCCCCCCCCAAGCATTTGACGCTTTGCTGCCTTTGTAAAGTCAGATGTATTTTTCCGCATGAAGCCTTTAAAAATGAACTAGTTAATTGGTTTCACAGGGCATTATTGCAGTTCTTTTGTGAGGATCCAGGCATTTGTGTAAATTAGCTCTTACCTATGAATGTATCTTCAACGTTGAATGTTGAATATGGAACTACAAAAGGTGTATCACATCGTTTTACAAGTTGGTGGTACGTTAGCTGTAGCTGCGGTGCGATGACTGTTGTTTAAATTTTTTCAAAAGAGATTTGAAAAAAATGACCAAAGTAAACAACTCGGAAAAGCCTACCTCACAAGGATTGGGGCAATTAGGCTCATCTGTAGTAAACTACAAGAATACAAACTGGTCAATTAGCACACTTGTGGATTTTTTGTAGGTCACACCGAACTTAAAGATGGCTTCACTGGGCACATGCATCTGAAAAACCCGAGAATTATCCGAGTGACAGATAACCTGCTGTGAGTCAGTCTTCCCTCTGTCAGCCAGGGAGTCCTCTTGATTGTGGAACAGGGAGGCAGAACATCAAGCATTTCTTGAGGAACTCAGTAAGTTAAAAATGAAGCTTGTGTGGCTAACAAGAACAAACTAGTATGGGAGGGGTGATTTCTGTCCAAGGGTTAGTGTGGCTTCTTTGCATCTTGCAACCAAGTTTGCCGCAGACTGCTTTGCAATGGTGGTTCTAGTCACTTGCTTGGCTGTGTAGAACCAATAAAGGTAGTTTCGCAACTTCATGTGGGTGTTTTTGTTTTTTGGGTTTTTTTTCTGTCCAATCTGTGAATTTAACCCATTTCATCTGGGCCTCCCATTTTAACCCACTGGCATCCATTTGTGGATGCAATCTTGTGTTACTGTATTAAGCACGATCTTGTTCTTGCCTGCCTGTTGTTTCAGTGATTAAATGATTAGTAAATCTGTGCGTCCTTAACTCATCATCTTGGAGCATTATGCATTCTGGTACTTCTTCCCGCAACACTTCATTTCATTGTATTTTATTTTATTTTTTAGTAGGGGACTAAAAGAATAGTATGTGGAATAATGCTGAGACTGGTGTCAAATCTGATTACATTCTTATTAAGCAGGGGAAATCTCTGTTTTGGCACCCAGACAATGAAAGTAGTGCCCTTGCCTTATTTTTGTTGGGAGCTAGGAGTGAGACAGCCAAGCAGATTGCAAAAAATCAACATGCTAGGCCCTACTAGCTAGCAATGCATCCTTGGACAAGTAGTTCTGTGTCCTTTGTTTGGTACCGGGGATCGAACTGGGGTCCTTGCGCTTGCGCAGCAGGCGGCGAAACCACTGAGCTAAATCCCTGGGCCCAGTTCTGTGTCCTTTGAGTATTACTTTTCATTGTGTCAGCTGCCAAAAAAGGAAAATGCTTTGCATTTACTTCCCAGGTTGCTGTTCGGGTGAACAAGGGAATTTTATTTTTGTGTGAAAACTTTGGGAATCTGCTATATTCTCTCCAAATAATACGTGGTATAGTAACAGATGATCAAAAGGACATCTTTATAAAGAGGACTCTGAATAATTAAATATCTAAAGCCCATTAAACGGAGCCCATAACAGACTGGCTTTATGCTGAATTATGCTTTGCAAGGAGATGTAGTATTCAATCAGATTAGGGGGGTAAGAAGTAATTATACTTAGAATTAGCTTGAGCTTCTTATCTGGGAAGGCACTATATGTTAGGTATATAATTGTATTTTTCAGTGTGCTTCTCACACTTTTTGTTCTTAAACGTTTTTGAGGACTGAGAGAGCCTTTGCTTGCATGGCTTATGTTTATTGATACTGCCGTATTAGAAATTAAAATTGAGAAAAATTTTAAATATGTATTAATTTACTTACAAGCAACAATAATGGATCCAGTACCTGTTAACATAAATGAAAAATTATGTAAAATGTATTTTTCAAAGCAAAAATTCAGTAAGAGTGGCATTATTTTACATGTTTGCAACTCTTTTTGTTTAGCTTAATGGAAGACAGCTGGATTCGTTATCTGCCTCTCTATATCATCTCTCAGCCGTCACACTTCATGTAGCCTCTGGAAAACTCCACTGCATGCTCTTGAGAGAATGAGAGTAAGCAATAAAAGTAATATCTTAATATTACTTATGAAAATAGTTTTGACTTTCTGAATCCTCTGAAAGGGTCATGTAATCTCTCAGGAGTTCAGGATCACAATTTGAAAACCTACTGGTATACAACTGTTGTACCAGTTAAAGACACCTACAAACTTTGATCAGAGTAGCTTTTAAAAATTAGAGAAATATGAGCCAGATTAATGCCACATGCCTGAAATCCCAGTACTCTGGAGGGCCAAGGTTGGGAAATGACAATATAGAGATTTAGCAAGTCCCTGTCTCAACAACAAAAATGGAGGAGATAGTGGGGTCGTAGCTCAGTGGAAAGGCCCTGGGTTCAATCCCCAGCACAGAAAAAGAATTACAGGAATGCTTGTCTTTAAGGTTGCCAACATATACTTTTGTTGAGACTTGGAGTTTTGGAAATACATCAACTGGGGAAAGACCATGGATAAGGTCTAGTAGTCCCTTGCTGTCAAAAAAAAGTTACAGTCTAATCTAGTTGGGGGAGAGACAGGAAGCTAAGTTAGAAGATAAATCCATGTTGTGGTTTAAGGTAAATGTTGAAAATAGTAATCTCCTAATAAGGTAAAAGCTGATTTATGTCTAATCACTGTGCTAAAGGCATTCTAGTTTTAAATGAAAAAGTTTTAAACAAAACTAGGACATTCTCAAGCTTTTTGTTGTATGTACATACCAATGTTATTTTCAGAAGCTGGAGCCTGGGACATTTCTTATTTTTGTGAGTGAAAGAGTTTAACTAGTGGCAAAAGACAGGGAGAAAACATGAAATGCTTTTAGAAGATGCCCTGAACACAACTGTTTTAATAACTAAGGAAAGCCAAAGACTAAGCTTTGCACTTGAGGAGTTTAGGTTAAATAGCCCAGTTAAATTTGAGACATTTTAATAGTGAAGGCGTGAGAATTTTCCCTGGTTAATTCTTCAAAGGATTGATGGTGCTTCTTTAAGTTTTCAGTACACACTCTCTTATTGCTCTACTCTTGAGTAAGTGTAAATTAAGTTTTTTGGGGGGAGGGTACTGGAGATGAACCCCCCAAAAGATCCATTCAGTAGAATGAGGTGCTGATTATTGGTTCTTTGTCAATGGTAATACATTTTTTTTTTTTGGTACCGGGAATCGAACTCGGGACCTTGCGCTTTCGAGGTAGGTGGCAGAACCACTGAGCTAAATCCTGGGCCCCAGGTAATACATTTTTAATGAACTGATCAGCTTGTGATAAAGGTAAGAAATTATCTTGATGGAATGCTGGGTCATTTCATATCATATTTCTCTCACAGCCTACATTTAAGAAGGCAGTTTTTTTGTCCAGTGTACTGTTTTCTAGACAGGATCAGTTAGATTTTGTTCATTATGCCAATTGGGTTTAGTGCTTTTATGTAAGATTCTATGATGTTAAGTGCCTAGCACTTAATAGAACACTGAGTAAATATTTGCTTAATGAATGAACTTTCTTTCACTTCTTGGAACATGGCTGGAATGGTCTTTAACCACGTTGAAAATAAATGTAGATTAGGTGAGCTTCTCCCTAGAATGTTTTCCACCAGGCTTCAGTCCCAGTATTTTAGCCAGTAGTCTCTGGATGTATTGTGAGCAGATGACCAGTTGCAGTGTTGTTGCCTGGATGCATTTGTGTTCTTTGACATTCTGTGCTTATAAGTGTGCAGGTGGACATGTTAGCTGTAAATGAGGATAGTGCAGTTAAAATTGGTGGGCAGGTGATAAATGTTTCACATTCATACTAAAGATTGCTATCTGAAATTTATATTTTTCTGAATTTAAACTTTTTTGGTAATACTTGCAAAACTAAGTCTGAGTAGTGTTTTTAGTCTTTTTGTTGTTAGTATTCATCTCTCACTCCATCCCCCAGAATCTTTAAGCAGCCTGGCCTGTTCCCACAGTCTCTAAATAATTGGTAGAGGATACAAAAGACCTGAAACTTGAAATATGCTCCCTGTGTTTGAAGAGGCTGCAGTTACAGGAATTGAGCCTAACATTTTACTATTACGAAGTTTTGACACATTTATCAGAAATTATTTTCCAAGTAGTATACTTACGGTATAAAGGACATCCCTCTTGGCCTAAGCAAAAGAAAGGATGGAGGGCCGGGGATGTAGCTCAGTGGCGCTGGGCCTGCCTGGCAAGCACAAAGTCCTGAGTTCAATGCCCGGTACCCCTCACCCCCCCAAAAAAAAGAAAGAAAAAAGAAAGGATGGAGCTGCAGGGTAATTAAAACTCTTTGTTTTGTTTTCCTGTTACTTGGTTATCCCCACAATAATTCCTTCTCATCATTCTTTGATATTAAAACATTAGTCTTAGGCTCTACTTTTTCCTTCCTGAAATTCACTAAATTTCTTTCCTTACTGGAATAGAACAGATTAGTTTTAGATCCTTCAAACTAGATTTATAAGTACTTATGGTTTTATAGTGTTAGTAGATTAGTAGCAGAACAAGCAGTTTATAGCTGAGCAACTAAATTGCTGTTTTAAAATTTAATTGAGTTCTTGCATCAGGGAATAATTTATACATCTCATCTTAATCTACTTTGTCCTTTCATTTTGAGCATTTTTGCTCATCTTGAGCCTTTTTAAATGTGTTATTTTTTCCTTAAAAAAATAAGTTGTCTTTGATTAAGTTGTAGTTTCCAACCTACTTACATACAGGTTTTGTGTTCACCCTAGTTTCTCATTGTTTGAAGTGGAAAATGTATACTGTGTAAGAGTAAGCTATTTTAATTTTTTATGTTTATTCATATCTTCTTCAGACAGGCTAGCAGCTACATACTAGGTGTTTTAATAGAGCTTTCCTGGACAGATGGCTTAGAAGGAAGTACTTTGATAGATTCTCAGTGGGGCTCGTACTTTTTGGAGGGTGTACTTGTGAGGAAGCTTACCTTGACTGACAGTTGAGAATGCTGAGAATATCATTAACAACAGTAACAGCTTGTTCATTTTACCTAGAATTGTCTTATGCCAAGACCTCTCAAGGTGCTCTGAGATTTTTGTGTAATAATAGTCTGTTTTGAGAATGTACATAAGTGTAGATATTGTTGAGACTGGAAGGAAATTCACTTAAAATTACTCATTGCATGGCCGGGGATTCAGCTCAGTGGTTTCGCTGCCTGCTGCGCAAGTGCAAGGACCGGAGTTCGATCCCTGGTACCAAAAAAAAAAAAAAAATTACTCATTGCAATCATATCTTGAAATCTTTTGGAGTTGTTAAGTGAACTTTGGCTTAAAAACTTGTAAATAGAGATCATCTTTTTAACTGCTATGAGTCTGCAGATGTTGTTATCTATAGTAATTCCAGATGTTTTCTCATCTATTAGCTTTATTGAGTAGAACTGAAAACAACAATGTAACTTCAAAACAGTTTGCTAGCATTTAATCCTGACTAATTTAATTAACTATCTATCCATCCTCCATATTTTTCCTGTTTAATAGATTATGAAACTGAGACAAAGTTTAAGAGTTGCTTAAGATGCTCAGGGGTATTAAAGATAGCCCAAAGATTAAAATCAAATTTAAGAAAACCATTCAAACTTTTAAGTTACCTTTTAAAAAGCAAAGTCTCTATTTTGTCATTCAGTAACTTAGTGTTTGATAATTTAAAGTATTTAAGATGTTTGGGAACACTTGAAATAATTCCTTTGAAGATTTTTAACATGGAAGTACATTTTAAATTTTAAATCTTAAAAATTATCCCTTTTAAAATTTGGTGTTTGACTCCCCTGACTCAATTTATTGATTAAAATGCTGGCAAGTTGAAACAAAGGATTAGCAGTATAAATGGAAAGAAAACAACTGTTTTGAATGTCAGTTTCATTATGCTCAGATCTAATTTTGTTGTAGGCTGAAATTCACATTAGTTTAGACATAATACAGCGGTCTTTTAATATAGCTGAGGATAAAATGCAATTGCTTTTGGTTATTTAAAAAATGTGTTTCAGTTGAGGGCCTTCTTCCCCCTTTTTTTTCATTTTATTTCTGGTAGAGTAGATTCTTCTCCGAGGTGCTTTATTGTTGGCTAGAGGTGGGAGAAAGTTCTTAAGATATAGAATTTTGCTTTTGCCTATGGTAGCTCAGAGATTATTTGAAATCTGCTTTTAGGCAACATATTTTGATTCCATTTGGTTATATTCTAAGATTTTCCAGTTGTATTTCCTGCAAAAGTTAATTATAGTCTTAGATTGCCGAGAGTAAAACAGATTTCCTGCTCTTCTTAAGATATGCTGAAAACTAAATGTGTATGCTATTTACAGATGTATAACATTCAGACGAGTTTCAGAAGGCAATTTCAGATTTTGAAAATTATTAAAATTAAATTTGGACATTAAAAAAAAGAAGTTTGCTCTTTTTAGTGTCTATTTTAGCTTTATGCTTCACAATTAATAAATGCTAGCTGATTTAATTTTACCTGACCTTTTGAGGAGGGGATTGAGTGTTATTTTTTAAGATAAACCAGAACATATCTTTTAAAAGATACTATAACCAACTGGATTTTATTGGGAGACTATGTGCTCTGCTGTAGGATCAAGCAGCTCTGTCAGGGAGCTGTTTTCCATTCTGGAGTGGGTGTTCTGTCTTATTTTTTGTTTCTTCTAGCTGGGTTTAAGGTAGCCTGCTTGTAGAGTTCTGCTTGTCTGTTCAGCCTCAACTGGCCTGGAGACTTCATTTGAGGGGCTGTTCATGAGCTGTCACCACTCGGAGGAGCAGGCTGGCAGTTAACTGTCTGTCATAGGCTGCAGGTTGAATTTAACTGATTATAAGATAGCATACTTATTGTTTTAGTTTTCTTAACTCTTTGTCCAGCTGACTAAGCTCAGGTTTTCTTTTTGAAATAATAGGTTATTGTCCATTCCCTTGTTTAAACATTGGTCACACACTATTGGGATGTTAATATTTTTATCAAAGATTTGGAAGATCAAGTTGAAATTTCTAGAAAATAAATTTCTGTGCTAGAACATTTCTCTGCAAT